GATTCTTAGGAGTAAATAATCGATTTTCGGCTACTGTTCATCATCTTCTTCCTCTGGTCAGTTTCGAGTATTATCATTTTTAATCACCAAACTTCAATTAAATTATATAGAAATGTTCTCCAAGGTTCATAGATCATTTTGGAATCATTAAAACATATTTTTAACATCAAATTCAAGGTTTATGATTCTTGGTTCTTAAACATGTCAAACACAAAACTCAACCAAACAACCATTTATGAACGTAAAAACAACCTACATGAACACTCTAGTCTTTAGATATATCTACGGGCTTACCTTAATGCTAAACAATGATTCTGGTGAAAAGACGGCGAAACTTCCGGCGAACACCACAGCTTGCTCCGGCAACTTGACACCAAATTGGTAGTACTAAAACGCTCTTCACACTCAGCTCTTTCTATTGGGATAAGAATGATGAAGAATGATGGACAATTTGGGGGTTTTATAGTAGAGGGTTAGTAGAAGAAGCCATGGGTGATGTCCTTGTTCCTTGTTCCAGCGGCTGAGTGGAGCAAACGACGATCTTTTACGGGTTTTAAACGCAAGTCCCTGATTGGGACTAATTTTGGTCCCAGTCGGGGTACGCTTTTTGGTCCAACTTTCTCCGAATTAAAATTCGATTGAACCGTTGCGGTCAGACAGTCAAACTCTACATAACGATATAGTTTTTTATTACTTATTGACAAACATTATAATTCACATATTTTTGGGTCCTTCTCAGTAATTAATTAATTATCAATTAATTAATTCTGATAAGCCTATTTTTGGGGCATTACATCAAATTAATGAAACGAAGCAAACCTTGCTGAAGAAACAGAGACTTACTCGGGGCATAGGTCGCCGATTAGAAGAGGTCCTTGTTCACGATCTTAGGAGAGACAATCTCCTTCGTCAGGAAGGTGTTGTGGAACCTCTCGACTGAAGCCCCAGTGTTGAAGGCGAGACCCGTTTGTATGTGAATGTACTTGCTCCCTTCACGACGCCATGGCCTCTCATTCTCCTCTGCCGTGGTTTCTTGACCCGAGGAAGCGTTCTTGCACCTTGGCATCCTTCCTCTTTGAAATTGATGGGATTAGGTGAGAAGATGGAAGAAATTTGAGAAAGATTGGAGAAGAGAAGGTGTTAGGGTTTCTGATTTCTTAACAGGAGAATGGCGAAGAAGACGAAGCCTGGGCTGGATATAGGGCGTAAATCGAATATTAATCGATTAAAAGAAAGTATTTAATCGATTAAGGAACACAGCCGAGGCAAAATCGATTAAATGAAGCATTTTAATCGATTAAAATTGGAGCTGAACCAAACGTTTGCGTTTCATGCTATTAATCGATTAAGCAAACGTGGTTAATCGATTAAGATGGACAGATGAGTCTAATCGATTAATATAACCAAATTAATCGGTTAAAGTGACGCAGAGCAAAAAGTTTCGGATTTTAATCGATTAACAAAAGTCAAGTAATCGATTAAGAGGGACAGAGGCGACTAATCGATTTCTCTTCGAGGAGTAATCGATTAAAACTTGTTTGACAGAAAAAAATCAAGTCCAATTCGGTTGAATACCAAGGGAAGAGATACCTACAATAAAAGCCCTGCAAAAAAGAATTTATCGCGCCTCCGACGCTCAAATTAGTATAGTCAATAAAAAAGAATGGATTAGTTCATAGATATATCCAAAATTCCAAGTTCGTTCCGAATGTGGAAGAAATTCTCCCTACTAAGGGGTTTCGTGAAAATGTCTGCCAATTGATGTTTCGTTTCAACAAACTCAATTGTGATATCTCCCTTTTGGACGTGATCTCGTATGAAGTGATGCCTAATTTCTATGCGCTTAGTCCTCGAGTGAAGAACGGGGTTCTTCGTTAGACTAATAGCGCTCATATTGTCGCACCTAATAGGGATGTGATCAAGTATGAGGCCGAAATCCACTAGTTGTTTTAGCCAAAGAATTTGGGCACAACAACTTCCCGCAGCGACATATTCCGCTTCGGTGGTGGAAAGTGCAATACTAACTTGCTTCTTACTAAACCACGAGATTAGCGAATGACCGAATAAGTGGCAAGTACCGCTGGTACTTTTCCTATCGAGTTTGCAACCAGCAAAATCCGAGTCGGAATAGCCAACAAGATGACATGTTGAACCTTTGGGATACCAAAGACCTACATTCAACGTGCCCGCGAGATATCGCATTATCCTTTTGATCGCAACCAAGTGCGACTCTTTAGGACATGATTGATACTTAGCGCATATACAAACGGAGTACATGATATCCGGTCTACTCGCGGTAAGATAAAGTAAGGAGCCGATCATACCTCGGTAGCGCTTGATGTCAACATCTTTACCTTTTTCGTCCTTGTCGAGATAGCAAGAGGTGCTCATTGGTGTGTCAATGGATTTGGATTCGGTAACATCGAACCTTTTAAGCAATTCCCTACAATATTTTGTTTGACACACGAATGTTCCTTCTTTGCATTGTCTAATTTGCAGCCCAAGGAAGAACTTTAATTCTCCCATCATTGACATT